AACCCCCTGCTCAGAGCAGGACCAGCCCCAGCCCCAGCCGCTGTCTTGAATCCCTGGCTTGAAGTTCAGTGGGACATGCTATGCAGAGGGGCAGACAAAGTGAGTCCCTTCTTGGCCTGGCTAATTATACATCTTTCAGAAGTGTATTTAGAGGATGAGGGTTGCACAGGAGCAGGCAAAAGACCGTATTAGTCAGGACCAAAGCTGCACTAGGATGGAGCAAGAGAGGAGGGCACAGGGAGACTTGAAACCAGTGCAGAAAGGCAGGGGGGGCTCCGTGTGCATGCATGTGTCCATGCATGTGGTAGGGGAGAGAGAGAAAGCTATAGGCCTCCATCTATAGACACAGGAACAGAGGCATCCATATTGAGAGAGGAGTGATTTTTGTCTTGTGTAGCTAAAAGTTATTCATGGAGATGGTGTTACTGTGCCAGCAAAAAACCCCAGCTCTCCTCCACCTAGCTTATATTGTGTCTCGATGACGGGTCTCTGTTGGCACAGCTACCCCCTGCAGAGGCTTTATAATGTAGACATGACCCAAACCAAATGAAGGCCACTTCAGTTCTGAGTGCAAGTGCACACGCAGCAAGATAATACAGCTGGATCTGCTTTAGATTTACAGCGTTCGTGCACTTGGATTAGCTGCCCTGAGCGTCCCATGTAAACAAGCCTGGAGCGTGCAGACAGCAATAGCTCGGTCATGTGCACAACCCCATTCATCTCGATGGGTTGCTAAACCTGAATCCTAAAGAGGGTAATTTAAATGTCATTACCGCCAACTATTTTGTTGTTGGTTATTTCAGCATAAACATCTATTGAGGGCTTATTAGATAGTCTCCAGGTATCTCCCCTAACTCCCCAAGTTGCAACCGCTTCCAGTCACTGATGCCTCCCCAGCTTGTTTCCACTGACGGTTCTTCCACCAAAGCTATTATTTTATGATATATTTAGTTCTTGTTAATCTTCCTCCTCTGCAAATCTTTCCAGCCCAATAATCATGTTTGCTTCCATGCCACAGCCTCCGTATCCCGCTGCCGGTCTAAAAACGCTCTTGTGACGTTAAATCTTTCCCAGCTCTACAAAGGGAATTAATTCTTCTCGCCACAGCCATGAAAGTCTGATTTGATTCTTTTTTTGTGTGTCCTCAATCATGGTCCTTCATCACAAATAAGCCTGAGTCAGAATTTCCCAGCTCCTTATTTCCTCAGGAAGGCAAATTGCTGTCCTTCCTCCTCCCTGCCCCTCAATCTCTGATGGGGCTGCAGTGATTTTTGTCTCAGCTATGCCTGCCATTTTGTTCCTTGGTGGAAAAAGGGATTTTGCACAGGAGTATCGTAATCCCTCTTCAGTGCCACCCTCTCCCATGAAGCCCAGCCCAGTATCACAAAGGTGATTGCTGAAGTGAAAGCTTGGCCGGGATTAATTCTGTGAAAACCAAGAAGTCGTGGGCTGCAGATGGCAAGGGAGCACAGTGGCTTTATCAGCTTACGTTGGGATTTGAGAACTTCGCGCTAATGGATTTCAGAACCCATCGTGCCACGCTGATCACGCTGGACAACGTGCCCTGTCTGTGCGCCAGCATGAAACGCTCATGTCAATCTGGGGTTCCTATGGGTTCCACCTCTTGTGTCCTTGGACCGACCTTCAGAGTTGCCCAAATCAAGCACACGAAAAATAAACAGAAAAACATGGGCGACTGCTCTGCCTCTGGTGCCTTCACAGTTGGAGTGGTCACCTTCAGGCCAGAGGTTGCATAAGTTGTTTGGTGGAAGAGCTGGGAGGAAATCTGGCATGTCCCTAATCCATTACTAATGCATCTGACTGTTCTGTTGACTTCGGGAATTTGGGATGTGCAAAGCACGCTCTGCCCCATGTTGTATAACTTGATTCAGCATGAATTTTGCATACATACCTTGGCACTTTCTGGCAGGCAGCCTTTGGTCCCTGTCACGCTAAACTCTGCACGCATGCACATGCCTACATGAAGAGAGAATTGAGCTGGAAAGGGAAAAGCAGAGCGGGAGGGGGAAGAGAGCTCTTCTAATGGGTCAGGACACCACGTACCGTATCCAGAGGTCTCTTACTTGCCACCCTAGGTTTTTTGGCAAGGGGGTTCTTCTGTGCCCCTTCCCTCTTTGAAGTTGGCCTCTTCTGCAGCAAGTCGAAGAGCAAGCCCCAGTCAGTTGGCAATTTGGCAAGGAAATCCTGTTCCTATTTCCTGTTTCTTTTTTCCCATTGTTTTGAGAGCAAGATTGCCGATGGAGACGGGACTGGGCGGCTGTAGGAGAGGGCGTGTGTTGCTGCTGTGTGGACGCAGTAGGCCTGGGTTAGATCTGGGACCCGGAGACCAGGCGGGGTGTCCAGTCTCAGTGAAGCGTCAACTATAAGAAAGGGAAGGAGTAGCTTAATGTCGAGTGAGGGGCTTGAGAGGACAGCCAAGCCTGCGAGAGACGGCACCTGGGATCTCTGCTACACTTGTAGGGACTCTTATTTGCAGTGCCGCATAGCAAAGGCACGGGGATAGACCTGTGCACTAGGCAGCTCCTGGGTGAATTTCTTTGTTCCCAAAGGTTGTAAGAGGTGTGAAGCCCCCAGCAGAGAGGGAGGGCCCCTCTTGTAGCCAAAGGATTCATTTTTGTAAAAGTTGAGTTGTCACACTTGGAAAAAAAATACGTAGGGGAGGGAAGGGGAAGGTTTGCAGACTGAGCATTTTAATGATCCTGAAAACTAATTTGTGACCCCATCAGTTTAATAGATTTCAGGGTCAGAAAAGACAGCTTAAATTCATTGGCTCTCATCACCTATCTCACATCTCAGAAAATGTCACCCGGTGATTCCTGCAGTGATGCCTTGTGATCTAGCGAAGGATCTCCCCTTCCATGGTACAACCAGGAGGTTTCTTTTGAAGCTTTTCTGCCACACTCCATCCTCCGCAAAGCATTCAGCTCCGCTTCGGAGGAAATGGTTATGTTTCAAAAGCACCAGGCAAGATTTGAAAAAGCTGGTTTAATCCTTGATGGGTTTTTTTAATGACCAGAGTGATTCCATTTTGCAGTTTTGCTGGGATCTGGAATTAAGGTACTTAAAAGATTATTTTGATCATTATTTTATGGCTGATAAATTTCTGCAGGGATTTTTCTTTCTTCAAAGAGGAGAGAAATGCACAGGGAAATGCTGGTAGTAATCTTATTCTTGGGGTTGGGAGAAAGAGCATTTCTTTATTTACATGAGACACCCTTGCAAAGGAAAACCAGTCAAATGCG